ATGGTGGCATTTACCGTGATACCATCGTTCATGTCGGTACATATTCCTTCCCGCCCCCCCCGCTCGTATCCGTGCTTCTATGCGGTCGTTTGTCAGAGGTCTGTCCAATGAACTGGAAGAAGGCGGACGAACTGGGCGACTGGACCCGATCGCCATTAGGGTCTCTAGTCCGTTCTTGAGGCTTGGTAGCATCACGAGCCCAGAGGAGAATTCCATTGATACTCTCGATACTACTCGACTCCTTCATGCCCAGAAGCTCGTTAGTTCATAAAACCAGGTCAATTCCTTCTTAATATATATCTTCCAAACCCTATCATTGTTATAAGTAGCAGCATGAACAGCCCATGATGCTAGAAGAAGAATCTGCTCCGTGACCCCATGCGGAAATTTGGAGAACAGGTCACTTTCACTTTGCTACTCATGGACGTAGCTGATACACTCATGCGGAAGCAGTGTTTGAGTTCGTTTGGGAAAAAAGCTCCGAAACAGGCGATAGTGATGTGACGAAGAATTCCTAGCGCAGAAAGGATCACCAGACCGTTTCGCGTGGGCACAGATCGAGCCTGGTCGAGCCCGCGAAAGCGTATATCTTGCATCGTCACAGTATATATCGCGCAGTAGCATTCCCAAGAGCCCATGGTGTTCTATCGTAAAGCAGTAAAAGCGACCGCGATGAAGCTGCGTAGTACTAAAATGTAAGTTGAATCTTACCCTGTCTGAATAAGAGAATATCAATGTGTGAATAGAATCATATATTCGCACTCTGGTCTTATCCCCAATCTCCTGCACGTTTATTCAAGCGTGATGACAAAAGATATCCAAGACGAAATCCCTTTACACTATCTCCATAGTATCATACGATCCCGACATATGGTTATCGGCGACATGCTCGGTATCCCAAGCTCGAGCATGTACGAAAGACTTGTCAAGCTCATCAGTAAGTATGACAGACTTCGCACGCTGATTCTTCATGAGCCCAGGGGCCGGCTCAATATGAGCGCTATGATTGTCTTGCCTCCGTGCGACCTCAGAGCCAATGGATGCTTTCTCATCATGGTTCCCCGTCCGATCTGCGGGGAATTCAGGTGAAGCCTTGACCGAGAATGGCTGCGATCTACATCATGTAAGAACTAAGCAGTATTCGGCAAGTGCCAAAAGAACAAGCACCAGGAACAGAGACATTTCACTGGTTCGTTTTATGGAGCCATAAGCAATTGTAAGCAAGCTGAGTAATCTTGTGAAAAAAGAGGAATTGACAGCCTCATACGATTTCTCCTCTCCTTTGGTTACATTACTATCTGTTTTATAGAGGGTACTGCATCCTGTTGCTTGCGGTCTGTCTCGAGAGCTAAGAAATCCGTGGGGCTACGTGTTTTGGCTCCTTTCAGATGGCAACGCGTCTACAGTCAGCAGCATGGCGCGGCATCATCTTCTTGATGCTTAGTATACAAGCTTCCCCTTCTGCAGCTGTCTGGCAGGACCAGGCATGGGTCAGAAAGTATCCCTGCAATCAATCATACGATGGTTTTGTCTCGTTGGAGCAAAGTCCCTTCTGGATCTCCAGTTTCCGCGGTTCGTGGGATATCCAGAGCGATACAGCTGATCTGAAGCTGGACATTCTTGCAGTCCACAACCGGTCACTCTTGACATGTGAAGAAATCGATGTTTCGTTATTTGAAACATCGTTGAACTTCCAAACTCTTGGATATTCAGTCGGCCAGTTAAGAGAATTCCGGAGCAACTGCCCTCTGCCTATCACAGACACTCTGACGCCGTGAGTACCCAACTACCCCGACTCTCAGATTGGTTTGGACAGGCCTTTCTGCTAGCAAGATTATCCTAGCATTGTTCCTATCGGATATACTGACGTTTCAAATAGTATTGGAAATACACTATTCTCCTCTTATCATCTCATTTACAGCTTCCAGAGCACACATCGGTTCCAAACTCTCGAATCGATTTTCAGTTTTAAACAACTTAATGGCCATGAGCTAGACTGTGGTATCGCGAAAATCACTCCAAACCTTGGAGGGGCAGTCTCAGCAGCGTTAGTCTACACGCCATTCAGCATTTTAGTCATTGTTGCTTTTTCTTCCTGGATCACACACCGGGACAGGCTCAGTTCCGGCTATGTCCTAGATCATGACTCCGTTTTGGCTAGCCAAGAGCTACTATGGGCGACGGTTCTTGACATCGCTGAGTATTTGCGTTATCTTCAGTTCGCCTTCGTGTCTGCATCGATGACCATAGAATACCCTGGGTTTTATGTTCCGGCAGTAGGCAAACTTGCCTGGGCCTCCTTATTATATTGGAGGGGACCCTTTGACCACGGATATTCATATCAAGGACCTAGTGGTGGTATGTATCCGAGTAATTTCTCCTATGGGCTTGGTTTCATGACCCAGATGCTTCGATATCCCAACATGCTCAACACGCTGGCCAACTCAATGGTAAACCTTGCCATAATCATGAGCCCGATATTTTTCATCTTTTCGCTCTGGTTTTGGATAGCATCATCATCGATAAATTCACGACCGAGTACCTTCATAACACTTATAAAGAAGGCAGTGGGAACCACTGTTGGCATAGCTTTATGTTTCTTCAGTGTGCCTTTACTTTCTTACATAGCCTACGACCTATTGCTCGTCGGTTACCTGCCGAATTATCGGATTGGTCTGGCTATCCTAATGTTGCTTATCATCTGTGGTGCCAGCCACTTTCTCACACGGACGCTCTATGACCAATTCGCCATCAAGCTGACCTCAGCGAGTATTGCTCAGATGGAGAATGGTTTGAAGCCGAATCTTGCTTGGATTAGGAACATGGTCTCTCGTCATCTGCCACATACGATGCCACTCCTCCAAGCTATTGGGATTGGGGGTCTGCAGGGGTTTCCAATTGCGCAACTGCTCATGCTCATATTATGTGAATGCGTCTATCTCTTTTTTCATCTGACTGTAAAAAGGGACGTCCAGAGACTTGACACGGGGAAGATAATCTTCTCAGCGACTCGTTTGCTCACCGCATTACTCAAATGTGTATTCGTCTCATCAGCCGGTCAGTCAAAGAGACAGTGGACTGGCTATATAATATTATGCATACATGGGTTGGTGATCGTGCTAGGTTTCTTTGTCGCCTCCGTCTGGAACCTAATTAGGACGATCTGGATAAGTTCAGACGAGAGTCTCGAAAGTTTCAACGATGCAAATCTAGGAGCGCAAAGTTTGGTAGGTCAAAGTTCTTGTTGGAAGCTATTGAAATGTACTCATATAATAATGGTCACAGGATCTCCAGATGGACGACCTTCCAACACCTAACCTATCGAGTTACCCGCATGAATATCGCAAAGACTACACCGAAGAACCATCATGGCAGCATCACCAGCAGGATCTCACATCATTCTACCGACCACCGAGGTCACAAGCGGCTTTTTCAACATCTCAGGGTTCTCATGGGACCGTAACGTCGGACACCGCGACAGCTTCAACCTCTAATAATCCCAACGCTGAAGAGCCCTTTGATATGAACCTGATCCTCTCAGACTTAGTCCCCAGAAAAGATGTGGATTATTCTTTTCGAGAAGTTGACCGCTTCTATGGCACACAGAGAGAAAGCCAACTTTCTGCCCCGGCATCCACGTCAGACTTGGGGTCGGCATCAGGGAATGAACAGGGAACTGATGGTCGGTCCTATTCTAAATCGATACCAAAACTGCTCGCCAGCTTAAAGAGGGTTCATAAAAAAGACCAAGAACGAGGGTTCCAAGTTCAAAGACCCCCGAGGCCTCCTTTATAGAGGGTGGAGTATGCCAAAAAGCAATGTGTGAGCAGAGGGCGGCTGTGAATCTTTCCCGGGGATCATACGTGCGGCTGGTCGATGGACATGCCGGTTATGTTGCCGGGACTGTTATGCACCATGTGACAGCCTCATACAACTTCGCTACGAGATCCAGATAATTCACCCAATCATCATGGATTTATTCAAGTCAGACCCTTTTAACTCGACACTGGGTATTAAGTTTGACAACAGCCAGCATCTCTATCAGCCAGATGATGTGGTTTCTGGGCTTATCTACCGAAAATCAGCATTCGTTTCTCCTCCTGCGACGATAAGCCTCAAGCTAAGCGGCCCAGTTCGGACTAAAATCCCACAGTCCAAGGGGTAGTTGAAAGTTGGAAACCAGATCCAATTAATCCATGATGGGCTGATTCAAATTGCCCCTGGGGAGGCACCGCGCCAGGACTGGCCATTTACGCTGGCGATACTAACACATATTAACTCACCATGCCTTCCTAAGAAGTGCTTTGTCCCTCTGATAAACGAAGATGGCATCACGGCGATTCTGCTTCTAAATTTCGATGGAACATATGATTCGGACAGGAAGGCCGTTGTTAAGTATACCCTTGAAGCTCAAATGCAGCTCGAAGGACGAGGGACAAGTGGTAACTCCAAGCCGGTGTTGCCAATCACGCTGGCATATTTTCGTTCGATGGAATTTCTTTTATTATCCACGCTATTCAATTTCGGCCAAAAAGAGCGTGTCAGCCGTTGTGCCTAAACGACCTCACTTTGCGATGATCAGTCAGACTTTAGGAGGCACTTTGGAAGTTAACAAGGAATCAGCATTCTTGAGCAAAACGTTTAAGCATGGTGAACTTCTGGTTTTCAATTTATGTGGTTATGGACTGAAATACCGGAACGGACCAGTGACTTGATAAAAACCGCCAGAGGATACCTTGGTAATCGGGTAACCGTCGCTTCTCAATTTCCGATGTCCGTATTCATTTGAGCTGGTGACAGGCGGACAATTATTTCAGCGGCAGCTTATACAACCTGGAGGACACATTGATCTGTGCTTGAAGACCTATTCATATATATATTCAGGTTTATTAGAGATTACAGCTGTAAGATAGCCCTCATAGTATATGTAGTCCTGTGGAGAGAATATAGCAGCAGGTTAGCTGCTTCTATATGTTATCCAGAATTCCAAACAGCAAAACCTATGAGCGCTTCTCGTCCTGGACCTCATTCACGTGTTGGGCATCGTCTTGATTTTCCTCCAACTTGTGGCTCGTGTCGGCGTGAACCAGTTCAAACACTATAATAATTCAGTTAGCAGTGCAACCAATCTAGCATGAACGGGAAGGGAAAACATACAATCGATGGGAGCGGTAGCGAACTTGCGAGCCGGCGTCTTCTTCTGAAACAGATAGTCCAGATCGGCAAAGCTTCGGTTCTTGGTCTCGGGCAGGAAGAAGAAGATCCAGACTGCCCAGATGCAGCAGAGACCAAACCAAAACCATCCAGCCTTTGCGCCCCAGTTCCAGGCGTCACTGCTGGAGCCGAGCATGCGCGGGTTGAGCTGCTGAACAACGATCTGGCCAACCACGTACATGGCCCGTCCGATGACGATTGTCTGGGCGCGGACACGGTTGGAGGAGGTCTCGGCGACGATCACATATGTTGTAGGTCCAAGGGAGACCTTGAAGGTCAGGTTGACGAGGATCATGATGGCTGCGACTCCAATGTAAACACCACTGCCTTTGGCGACAAGCCCGAGAATGCCAATAATCAGCATGAGGCCTCCAATGATGGATGAGCCCCAGAAGAAGAAGATACGACGACCAATACGACCCATGAGCACGATTGCGATGGCTGTGCCAACGATATTGACGGACTGAATGGCCATGTTGAAGTTGAACGATTGAACCTGGGGCATGCCGGCCGACTGTAGGAAGATGGCAGCATAGGCAGCAATAGATTGACCGTTGAGGATCTGGATAATCCAAGCCATGCACACGATTCCAGTACGACGAAGATTGGTACCACGGAAGCAGTCTGCGTAGCTTGAGTTCTCTGCATTGATCTTCTCCATCTCGTTCGTGTGCTTCATGAGCGCCAGTGTCTGGGCCATGGTCTGCTCTGTGTAGTGTCCCTTGCGCGCGAGGCGGCGAAGAGACTTTTCCGCCTCTTCATACTTGCCGCGGCGGACGAGATACCAGGGCGACTCAGGGGCGAAGAACGCAACTGTGAAGAGAGGCACAACCCAGATCCACTGCAGCGCATATGGGACCTTCCATCCAGCGTCACCTGGGAGATTGAGCGAACCACGAAGCACACCGGCGGCCAAGAAGGAGCCGCAGCCCCAGCACATGGAAACCCATGCGGTGAGGTATCCACGCATAGCAGCCGGGGAGATCTCGGCGGCGTATGCCGTAGTCAGAGTTTGAAAGATACCCCAGGGAATGCCACACAGGATATTGGCGGCAAACAGCATCTGGACGTTGACGGCAAAGAACAAGCAGAAGATTGTGCATGTCATCAGGACCATGGCGGCCATGTACACTCGACGTGATCCAAAGCGTGATTGCAGATACCCATTTAGAAGCAGACCAATGATGCTTCCAAGATTGTTGCCGTTTCCAATAGCCGCCTGCCAGGAGGTGGAGACATGTTGTTTGCCATTGGCATCTGGCCAACCAAATTTATCCAGATAGGCCTTGTGCGCGAAGAAGTTGTTGATCAGACCGACATCCATACCCTCCATAACGAGCGCGAGACTGAGCAGCGCGCTGAAAATCGTGGCCGGGAGGTAGCGGGAGAAGAGCTCCTTACGAGGGAGTGTCGCCTCTTCATCCGAGGCGGCGTGGGCGGCCTCAATGAGCTCCGCCTGCGTGCCCCAGACACCGGTGTCGTTGTGTTCGACGGTGGGCTTGACGCCTTCCTCAGCTTTGGTGTCCGAAGCAGCCATGATGGTGTTCCTGTCGGTCCTGGTTTGATTCGGTGCGGTGAGGAGATGGAACATGGACAGCAACGGGGGGTATGCGCTGTTAAATACGCGAGCTCCATTGCGGCCTCATCCCACCCATGAACCCCAAAATCCGGTTCAAGTATGCGAGATACTAGTCTGGTGGAGACTCGAGGCCCCTTCGGTTGGCTTAATGTCCCTGCTGCTCGATTCTCCATCAATCAGAGACGGCCAGTCGACCAGCATTACCCCGAGAGGGCATCCAAGAGATAAAGTTGGAGGCCCCGCATTTACCCCATGGGCCAGAAGTTTGTTTCCCCAGGTGACTCTCTGACTCCGCCCCTGGCCCGTGACCGGTCTGGGCCTCCAACACCGCAGTCATCGCTTCAATGCTACCCGAGCTGACCCATCCTTTGGCCTAGTCAACCAATAAATCTTCGCTAAGATAGGGTTCTCGGTCAATCTGCTGCCGGTGGCCAAGAACGAGCAGTGGTCAGGCCAGGGCCCCTGTTCGCGCGAAGTGTCACTGGTCCCATCTGTCCAGTATTTTCATCCTTCTTGCAACCCAAGAGGCTTGGCGCGAGATATTGGCCTAAAACGAACAGCTCGTATTGGTACGCTTCTCTCTACACCACTACGCCGTGCAGGGTGAGATGCTAGCGCGTGCATGGTTTCGTCGCCAAGGCGCACATTCATCTTCTCGTTCTCCGCGGCCTTTGCCTATCCCTCTCAGTTAGTTACAGGGAGCGCTGAGGACTTTTAATTGGACTACTAGTTACCTCTCCCGGTTCAAGAAAGCTTCGGCGAAGTTCTACTAAAATCTTTCTTCAAATCAAATCGACGCAGGAATTATGAATTCTTTTGCCAGTTACTGTTCTACAAAAACAGCTCTTTAACCTCATTTAATGAGATCCCACTTAGACAGTGTCACCTTTTTTCTTTGAAATTGACATCAATGACTGTTAAGAAACATATTCCAATCGTGTTTGTAGGAGGCTATGTGGGAGAATCGCAATGAATAGATTGGTACACAGTGAATGGCCACTTAAACCTCGCTAGAGAAAATCACAAAACGACGAAATTAGCTCAATTCAAAGAGCTAAGACAAAATACATTATCTATACTCTCTGGCATTGTCCCAGCAGGTGAATACAAATACTAACACGATTGCTGCGTTGTCTCAACCCTTACCCAGAACCTGCTCGCTTCATATTTCTCCACGATTGAAGTTCCATCAACATTTAGACCGAGGCAGATCGCAACATCTTCCACGCTAGAACCAGATCCAATCTAGTTCAACTCAAAGTAGATACTTGCCATGATCAAGATACCGAGGCAAGTCTGTGAGTCCACGACAGCGTCGCATTGCTAATGCACCCCGCATTCTTCGACCACATGGTATTCTTGCAAAATGCTGCACCGTAACCGTTTGATTCGCTATTTATGCTTAATATAGCCTGGAGAGGAACCCCGGACTTCCGTTTGGGATACATTCTTGCGAATTTAAGGTTTTTCCCCACTGCAACCTAGGAGGAACCACCCTTGAGTTTGCCTGGCGATGGCTTAAAAGTCGAATGATGGTATTCTGGTAACAGATAACATATACATAGTTCAGTAGAGTAGGAAGGCCAACTATAAAAGCTGGAGATGCCCTCGCTATATAATATTATCTTCAGATCTCAACATATCACAGAACCAAATCATTGATAACAACTCATCCAGTACATTCACTCGTCGACCTGAACAAACTGATCCTATCATGAAGTCGTTTATCTTCATTCTTACACTGGCTGTTACCTTTATCAATGCCCAACCTATTGACAACAATATTGACAAAATTGCATTTGCAACTCGCCAGGAAACCAATCTTGAGGACCGGCAGCTGGCGAGTCGCAACGGCCTGGAATCAGGTTCTTCCTCCCGCTGCCTAGAAGCAATTCTCATCTTTGCACGTGGTTCAACCGAGCCCGGGAATATGGTACATATCCTCCACCACTCGATCAGCGATTGCAAATCTCTTCTAACAACATGATTAGGGGGCCACTGCCGGTCCGATCTTGGCAAGTGCGCTTGAGAGAGAATTTAGCAACATATGGATCCAAGGTGTGGGTGGTGCGTATATTGCAGATCTGGCCTCGAATCTCCTTCCTGATGGAACAAATCGGGCATCCATAAACGAGGCAAAGAGGCTTTTCGAACTAGCTTACTCCAGGTGCCCCAATACTCCTGTTGTGGCAGCCGGTTACAGGTAAGCCTATCTACAATATCTACACAACCTCAGCCATTTGTTAATTGTCATCACAGCCAAGGAACAGCTGTTGTGGGCGTCGCCATATCTGAACTCGCGTCGGAGGTCCAGAACCGAGTTGCTGGGGCTGCGCTGTTTGGGTACACCAAAAATCTCCAAAACTTGGGGAGGATCAAGAACTATCCGAAAGATCAAACTGCGGTCTATTGTGAACTGACTGATGCTGTGTGCTATGGTACCCTGTTCATCCTCCCAGCGCATTTCCTATATGGGGACGACGCCGCCTTAGCAGCCCCGCGATTCCTTGCACGCCGCATCAGGGCCTCCTGAACAACTCACACTCTGACTGGCAATGACTCAAGCCAGGTCGTTGCCAATAATTCTGGTGCACTCGAGGAGGAATGAAATCGAGGAGGTGAAAGATACAGAGAGTGCAACATCTGAAAACTCTACGCTCTTCATCCTGTCCTTGGTTTAGTACTAAGAATACTGCCCCAACGAGAGCGCTTTGCTGCCTCCGTGGGATGTAGCATGATTCAATACCAGCCTGATAAGTAGTCTACTTACTTTGACTCGAGCCTCTTGCACATCAAACTTTTGACATTTCATTAAACACTCTCTATGGCAACACTTCTTGTGACAACTTCTCGTCAAATATATATGCTGTAATCCCTCGTTATCCCATCATACAGCATCATCATCTACCTTTTTAATCCCAAGAACCTTGTTCATCATTTCATCCTGGTCCTCCCCTGCTGCGTCCAAGACCTCCATATTTCCGTCCTCATCCTTGCCTCCAGTCCTATATCCGGAGTGACTGCCAAACACGTACCACGTGTAGCCCGTCATAACAGCAGCAGCAATGAGGAATGAAAAGACGGTCCAGTTGCCCATGCTGTACATAGGTCCTTGGTCACCTGGGAAGAGGAAAGGGGCAGATATCCCGCCGCAGTTGGCGATGGAGATCATACCGCCTGTTGCGAGCGCAGTTGCTACTGACCCTTGCACGGTCGCAGTACGGTGCTGTTGAAAGTTAGCATACGTCCAAATGTATTGTAGGGGCAGCGGGTTAAGTAACATACGGCGACAAAAGGAAGGACGGCTGCATTGGTACAGGCGATAATGCAGACCGCAAAGTACCTCACGCCCCAGTGCTTCACGACAGCTAGGAGCAAGTATCCAATAGAGACAAAAATCAGCCCTCCAATGACGTGTCTCGATCGCTCCTTGGTTTTGTCGCTGTGAAGACAGACGCCGACGATGATGATCATGGCGAAAACATTGGGAGGCACAGTGAGAAGCTGCGCGTTGTAGCCTTGGAAGCCCAATGATGCGACAATGGTGGGGGCAAAGTAACCAAAAGCATTTAGGGAGTTTGTCATGAGGAAGTACTGAGCAGCGAATAGCCAGAAAAATGGATCAGCGAGAGTCTTCTTAGCAACCTTGCTGTCCCAATGCTTGTCGGTCATGGATGGCGCATAAGGGCCAAGGCGCTTGACGGCAAAAGCTCGCTCTTCGGCCGTCAGCCAGGAAGCTGTTTGGGGGTAGTCGGGCAGCATGAACCAGACCATGACTCCGACAATGACAGCGGGAATTCCTTCGAGGACGAACAGCCACTGCCATCCCGCCAGCCCAGATTTTCCATTGAGAAATGAGATTCCGGTGGCCAGCAAGCCGCCGAAAGCACCCGCCACTGCGATGGAGGAGGCGAAGATGGCCATGCGCGTGGCCCGCTCCTCAGGCTTGTACCAGAAACAGAGGTACATCATGATACCCGGGAAGAAACCGGCCTCGGCCAGTCCGAGGCAGATTCTGACAGCAAGCAGGCCGCCATATGTTGTCACGGCTGCAGTGCAGACTGTTATTATGCCCCAGGAGACCATGATACGAGAGATCCATTTGCTTGGGGAGAAATATTTGAGCATGATGTTGGAAGGGAACTCCATCAAAACGTAGGGCACGAAGAAAAGAGCAACGGCAACATTGTATCGCTGGCCAGTGAGGTTGAGTGTCGTCACGATGTTATCCTCGGGAGTGTCATTGTTGAGGGTGCGGGCGTTGCCAAGGTTGACTCGGTCGAGGTAGTCTGAGTAAATTGTCAATACATTGCGGGCTTTGTCCATGTTATCGCAGGGACTATACTCACTCAGAAGGTATGTCACACAGATCCAGGGCAGGATACGCAAATCTTGCTTGCGGACAATGCGTTTTTCCATCGCCTTGTCAGTGAGATCGACCGTCTCCAGGCCAGGCACATCCAACGATGGTGCCGGCGAAAACAGGGCCTTCCAATCAACCATGACGTCAATTTTCTTCAATCAGTTCGGTATGACAATTCATTGAAATGGAACAGAGTCGGCCAGGCGGCGTTGCTATATAGGTATACGCTGTCAAAATTGATAGATAATGCACATCATACACAGTCGCTCATCTGATTTGTCAAAGTCGTTCTCCTCGCTTGCTTATCAGTGCTTCCCCACGGGGGTAACTACAGGTTCGAGAAACTGAGCCAGGTGTATGGAGTCAGTGTCAACGCTCCTCCAATGAGCGTCCCAAATGCAATCTCAATCTCACGATAACTGCCGGCCGTTGTCGGTCCCTGTATTTGCCGCACTACGGGTCGAGATACGATATCCGGAGGGTCTGATAGCAGCAAAGCACGCCCACCAATGAGAGTGAATCTTGCCAAGGGGACATGATTCGATGACTAAGGGGAGGTGGTAGAATAATGTCACCCGGCCCCACTCAGCAATTGGCCCGATGGCTTCAGAGTTTCGGGCCAAAAATTGAGCCCCGAGACCCGAGACGGGGCAGTGACAGTCGCAGGCTCGTAGCAGAAGCGATTGATCAAATAGCCCAGGCCATTAGCTGACGGAATCAGTAATAGATCCATCTGAAGTTTGGAAGTAGCAGAATACTTTGATGCACTAGGTAAAGGTGATTTTTTGACCGTAAGGCTAAATGATGACCGAGGGATGGTAACATCCAGTGACATTCTGGCCCCATCCTAAAGAATGATGATATCGGCCCTCGTGAGATAAGAAGTTTTTGCCAAAGAATTAGCAGATCGTTTCTTGAACCAGTTCAGCTGTTATCTTTACAAGCTAGAGGTGTTTCTCAATAGCATTTTATGTTGCCTGGCTTGTTTGACGCGTTGTTCCAGGTGAGAACTGGCCGGGAACGGCCTCGGTCTAGGGTAGCCGACTCTCTCCCTTTCTCTTCTCCCTTTCTCCTTTTCCCCGCTTATGTAATGAGCCCGGACTGGTTCTGGTCGGTTTCAGCTGGTTACTAATCCCCGATTACCTAAAAAAAGAAATCCCAGCGCGTTTTCTTTGCCATTTTGTCAAGGAGGCACTCAGCCATTCCATAATGTTTGGCATAGCAAATGGCAACGAAAGTAAATTAAACCTAGGAGACGCCGTGTGCTTATTTGGTAGATGACGTTGTCGGAGAGCCACAGTGGGACTCGCTCAGGAGAACTGGTGGCTGGGACTATGCCACGGAGCAGGGCGTGAAACGAACACTTGTTCGCCCAGGGACGCTGGCGGCCCGGCGCGTTATGCAATACGATCTCAGGCTGTAAAATGCAGGGCGCCACCTGTATTATGGCGTATGGATGCCCTGTGCTGTCCACCACGGCCAGGGCTGTACCCCTGGAAACGAGGTTGGGCTCTATGGATGATGACCTGACCGACACCGAGGGCTTGTTCTTTGACCGCCTGAAGTGCCGCCTTGCCGTGCCCATTGGGATGTGTCTGGCCTGTATGCATGTCTCTGCTCGTGCCTGATGCGAATGCCAGCCCTGATTCTGGACGCCTCTGATCGTACTTATTCCTGAGGGCTGCATTCATATTCCTTCTCTCCACATCGATTTTTCTCTTGGCGGCTTGGTTTCATTTTCATTGACAATTGTTTACATACCCGTCATTGCTGATTTTGACTGCTGATCATGTCAACACCCCACCGCCACAACGGCGGGCGCTCAGCATCAACACCGCCAGAATCCAGCCACAGCCTGAACCGAAGCCCATTGTGGGAACGCAATGACCGGAATGGACGCAACAGCCGACGTGAAAGAAATCGTCGTCGACGCCCTGCCGGATATGATTTTGCAGAAGACGAGGAAGGGTCTTTAATCCAATTTGATAGGGTGTGTAGAAATTCTGCGGCTGATCTGACGAAATCAGAAGCCAGTCACGTTTGCTAATCTTGAGATACAGAGAGAATCCGCAACAACGTCCGAGGTATTACAACCAACCTCTCATCTGACGCCAAACTTGACGACTGACGAAATGCTTTTCCTTGCAGCTTTTTTACGATCTGTGGTTTGTTGCCAACCTCACCGTCTTTGCGACCGTTCATCCAATCACCGAAGTGGATGCACTTGTGTCATTTGTCGGTTACTTCTTGTGAGTCGCTATCTGCCGTGCGCAGCGAGGATGGTATTGACTGACCGCTTCTCTAGGTTGCTATGGAATACTTGGTTCATCACGACCACCTTTGATGCTCGATTCATCCATGATGGGATACTTCCGCGTCTTGCCCGGGCATGCCACCTTACCGTCATGATCGGGTTCGCTATTGCCGGAGCTGCTTTTGATCGGAAAGAACTTATTAGGTCTATCATCAAGGCGCTGTGTATGTGATTGGATCCCTCCTTTTTTCAGACCTTATTAACAATTTTAGCTCTCTTTCTGGTGCTCTCGAGATTGGTGCTCACCGCACAGTACTGCCTTGTATTGTATGGGGTTCGCCATAACAAGAGAGGTCGCAGGGCTCTTGTTATCGCAGCTACTCTTACTTTTGTGCCTGCAATTGCCTACCTGATAGTAGGCATCATTTCAGACACGAGCAATAATCGGCACGTCATCATCGTTTGGTATGTCGTGGGCCTACTCGAGCTACTGGGTGGAATTCTTCACGCTACGCTCTCCAAGACTCTCAGTTTTGAAGGCACTCATTTCAATGAGCGCTTGAACCTCTTGACATTAATTGTACTTGGAGAAGGTACGCATTTTGCTTCTTTCTTGGACTGTGTACGTGGCTGACGTTTCACATAGGTATTATCATTCTAGCAAAAAACGCGGCCAAGATTGTAGAATATACTTATCTCAAGGGTATTTCTACCTACTGGTGTAAGTTTAGCGAGCTCCTTTATCTCAATAATGGCAATTCTGACTTCATCCCAGCCCCCGCTCTGGTTGGTACGCTCTTTTCCGCTGGGGCAATCATTTACATTACATACCAGCTCTACTTCGACTGGATGCCGCACGAGCATCACCATCCGCATATGACGCCCTGGAGACACGCCGCCTGGACGCTGATTCACCTTCCTTTTCACGCAGTTCTCGTGCTGTTATCCGAAGGCAGCAGTCAATGGGCTGTATGGTGGCGAGCTATTGAGTCCTATGGCGAAGTAGAGGCAAAACTTGAGGCTAGTGTGAACGACAACATTGCCAACGGTGGTTCCACTCGCTCGTCCAAGGTAGCCGAAGCACTCAAGGACACAGCGTATTCGATCATGAAGAAGTATGGATCAGACCCCGAGGATGGAAGCAATAATTCCCAAGACCTCGACGCCGCCTTTGACGACATCAAAGGGTTACCAAGCAGTTTCTGGGATCGGGGGATGAAGAACAGCAGCGACCCTAATTACCGAACCTGGGTTGATAGTTACCTTGGTGTGTCAAGAACCACCATGAACTCTGTTAGCAAGGCATTTGGCCTCTCATCTGAAGACAAGAAAGACTCTAGCACCACGGACTGGAAGAGTGCAGAACTTGCTGCTGTCAACTCTACATCAGTCCGGCTTCATACTATTGTAAGTTCGCCCTTACTCAATTCATGCGCATGTGAGTTGTTTACTGACTCGTCTCTCCAGTTTGCATACTTATTCGTCAGCGCTGGGATTGTTCTCATGCTATTGATGATCCTGCATATTCTGGCCAAGAGACGCGGTTGGTCGCAGTTCGACTTACTCCGTGCAGCCATTGTTTTTACTACCGGAACTGGCCTCAGCCTTGTAGCCACCATCAAGCTGAACCCATCCATGCTATCCAGCTTTATCAACTCACCTTTGCAGTTGCCTATCATCTTGATATGCTATTTTGGCTGCTTGGTCTTGACACATATACCGATATCATCGCCACCGGCCAATGAGTCTTCGGACCAGAGCGAAAAGGGGGTGAGGAATGTGAAGAGGGGACACAGTCGGACTCAAGACCCCGAATCGGCAGTTTCTGGGGGAAGACAACGCCACAGTATTTCGCGAGAGGAACCTACTAGTGGCTATAGTCGACAGAGGGGAAACGACAACGGAGCTTCTGACACTGATCGGTCTGCGCAAAGAAAGGGCCGATCCGAGCCAGATATGACCGAAAGAATTATCGACCATGTTTGGCGCGCAGTTTATGAAATCTTTGTGCCCCGAGCCGAACGTCAGTACGATCGTAGAGGTAGATCAAGGGCACCCGCATATTGGGTGTAATAGCTAGATATTGCAATGATTTATGAATGACATTTTACCTACGAATATCTGGAGCTGATTGTGAATAGACGCGTATGTGAGAAGGTATCTAATTATGCTCAACCAAATTCTATGTCTTGAGATAGTATTGCGAAATTGGGTATAAGGTGACTCAAACTCAAGCGAAGTTGTATGTATAATAAATTATGAAACGAGGGTCTTCGTTATTTTTCTAGATAGATAATTCTTCTCCTTGCTCTCATCTGGGTAATCTGGTAAAACCTTGACAAATCTAGTGTTTCTATAGATTAGAACAAGCCATAGACATTACACAAGAACAGCTATCACTAGTACAAACATGAGCATAGGCACCATTTCTAGTCTTGTCGCCGTGGAAGAAACATTCGTGGTTGATAGACTCGCTTCGCAATTTCCCACTACGGATGGGACAGCATCTGGCCCGGTTGTAGCTGGCAAAATCTCCGAGGTGCAATTTGCCGACTGTGCCAGATGAGCATTTTCATTGTCCCAGTCGAAAACCACTGTAAATCAATTTAGCCAATTTTTTGAATGAATATGCTCAGGATATTTCTCACCGTATGCAGCTCTGAGGAAACTTAGTCCCAACACTTGCTGCTGGCCGTCCTCCACGGGTTCCAATCCAGCAGCACAGATGCCCTCTGCCGTGAAAATGAACTCGTGGAATGGGACCATGATAGTTTTGTTACCAAATTTGAAATCAAGGCCGCCATCGACGTCTCGTACAGAACAATCCACCACATAGTACCCAAGGCTCTCATCTAATTTGGCCCCGATATCTGTATAAATTTGCCTGGCCAGCTTTTGGTTCAACTTTGACATCGTGTACCCGGTGTCAAGTAGAACGTTGGTCTGATTGGAAATGTCATACTCGCGGGATTTGCCTTTTCCATGTATACTTAATGCAGCAAGGTCGACAGTGAGTCTGATCAGGTGGTCAGTTTCATTGAACTGCAGAGGAGTTGGAAGTAGCATGGGGCACTTGCCTGTATTTACCCTCACTGCTTTTCACAATGGGAAGCTTCTCTAGCGAGCCGGTGTATCTCCCCTTGTCAATGCCTCCAAATATTAACGATCCTTATTCATCAGTCAGCACAGATTGTAGCGGTAGGAAGAAAATAAGAGAAAGAGAAAAGCACTCACCCTCCGCTTCATTGGCGCCGCCAAGGCCAACGCTGTAGACTCTGCTTGATATGGATTTCGATTGGGCCATTGCATCGAGAACAAGTGGATGGGACTCATTGAGAGCAAAACCCCGATCCAAGTCGGGCCCGAGACCCAGGATTCCAATTGGAACGTTGGCGCTGGCCCAAGCAACACCGAAAATCTGGTCCTTAATCTCGATTCCTTGATTGGCTATGAGTAAGATGACGGTGCATTTTCGGGCTTGCAACGCTTACCTCCAATATCAATGGTATCTTGATAGTAGTTGAACCTTACTCCCGTTAACTGCTCGCCTATTCCGTACTGAATCTGGCCAGAACCCAAGGGCCCAGCAGCCGTACTGGAGTTGTTGACTTTGTATACGGGGACTTTGTCACATAATTCCTTCTGATTGAGCGCAGTTGGAGCGGCACTGCAGTTGGCATTGACCCACATCTCGCTAGAGCCTGTATCCAGCTGAACAAGAGTTTTCTGAGGAGGTGTTCCTATCGACACTGAAATCCATGTCAGTTGTGAAGGTCGGAAGCGGTGAAGTGAAAGGAAAACCTACGTTCCACTGTGTAGAGCCAATTTTGGTTTGCGATCCCAGTGGAAACGGCATGAGAGGCATTGCTTTGTGTTGTCCGCACCCTCTGAATAGCATACTTGGTAACTTGATCATTTCCTGTCGTATGAAGAGCGGTAGACCCGATTATCAGGACGCTAAACGCCGTCAAGGCTGCGGTCGTGAAGTAGGGGTGCATTTTGTGCGATGAGAAGGCTGTGGATTTAGAGGTAATGCAGGATATGAGATTGGAATCTGGATCAAACTTGTGTGATCTTGCCATTGATTATATACCTGTTCAAAGTCGTAAATTTAGGACCTCAAGATGTAATTGCAAGGCTGTCGTTCGCATGCTCGTAAGGCCACCTCCACACGGCCCACTCCATTTGAGATTGCTTGCTTATGGTTATTTTAGGCACTGTCCCGGCATTGATATTTGCGTCCGTACTACGTTTTGCACCTTGGTCTGGACGACGTAATCAAGCCTTGCGCCTCACTGTGCCTACCCCTGCAGATCCTCGCCGTTGGTATAAGAAGCTTTAGCTAGACATGGAAACGGGCGTTTGGGTGAGATCTTGCGGCAGTGGGTCTGGTGGAGATGTCCATACGAGCAAGCCAATTGCCGGATGAATCCATCGGCCCTCGTTTGGCTGGTGGGAGAATATTTTGAAAACAAACGGTCGAGACGAGATGCTGTAACCTGCCATGCAGTTGAGCAACACCGGCAGTTGAAGCAGTTGCAGACATCACCAGCGAACTGCAGAAGAGATACTAAACACGCCATCTCTCTTTGATTATCCTTTCCAATTGAAGTAGCCATGCCACGTGTCAGGGTGGAAGATCGCCAACGCGTCCGCGCTCCAAAGGTCCGATCAGGCTGCAGGACATGCAAGTGAGTAGACCATATTTATAGATGCTGCCCATTACAGAAGAAGGACTAATCACGTATTTACTACAGAAGTACTCCGCCAACTTTCAGCTTTGCATTACAAGCGTGTGCTGATTTCTGTTTCTCCCTTGCCCAGTCCGACGTGTGAAATGCGATGAGGGCCGCCCAGCGTGTTTTAGATGTTAGCTCTCTCTTTGACAGGCCGGTTTATATCCCGTGGAGACATAGGCTAAGCTCTTCTTTTACTCTAGGTACCTCGACTGGCCGCCGCTGTGACGGATACGAAGCTGAAGTCTCAACCCGAGGCCCCGGTTGCAGCAATCCCCGGCCCAGTCTCAGCGTCAAGGCACCGAACAGCGGAGAATCGCTGTATCTCCAATTTTTCGTAGAAAAAACCTTGTCATCCTTTCAGGCCTTTTTCCCTGATGATTTGTGGCACACTCGGGCTCTTCAACTGGCGCAGTCCGAGAGCTCTATTCGCCATGGGCTCGTCGCCTTGGCCTCGTATCATCATGAGTTCCTCCACCAACAAGGCAGCGAGAGCTCTGAGTTTGCTCTTTCCCAATACAATATGGCGATTAAAGAACTCACCCGATGCTCTGATGGAACGTCTCGACATCCCCAGCCTCATTTGCAGGTCCTCTCCTGTCTTATCTTCATATCTATTGAGGTTAGCCCGCTTCTCCTTTCTTGATTCATGGTTGTGATTTAACACCTACTGCCAGATTCTACGTGGCAGAATAAAATCTGCAATAAACCTCTTTAAACATGGATGCGAGATGATGTGGCAGTTAAAGAGGACGCAGGCGTCTCGGCTGCGGTCAGGTACTGACATGGAACGCACGTTTTACTTGGCTGAAGCGTTTTTCAAGCGCTTGGCAGTGCAGATATCGATGGTATGTTTCCAACATGTCCCAACTCTCAAGAATGATATTGACAGTGGTTACCAAAAGCTCGTTGGTGACGTGTCTCCTGAATTGTCTACAGCCTTTCATGCTCGATCGAGTAACACAGACTTCCCCTCTCCTTTTAACTTCAGAACTCTTGTCGCTGCAAGAGAAACGCTTCTTAACATTATCATAAGAAGTTCCATGCAATCCGAATTGCGACCTGATCGAATCTGCTACGCTGAACAAATACAGAAGTGGATCCAATCATTCAACAGTCTTGTGTCTCGACTTTCCACCCAGAGTCTCAGCAATGCCGAAAAACGAGGGATTGCTCTCTTGGAGCTCCATAAGCGGAATTTGAGCCTTAATCTGGCTGGACTGGCACATGATACAGAATCAATGGATGACGACTTTTTCTGGGACCAGTACGTAGCGGATTTCGAAGAAATGATACCCTATGCTGCTGTTGCGGTGGGACTTGACACCGATCACACCGATTCTGGGAACTCCGGCAGAGCATCCTGGCATATGGAGATTGGTGTTACGCCCGTGCTCTTTCAGTTGATCGCGCGGTGTCGAGACCCTCTGGTGCGCCGCAAGGCTATTGCGATAATGTTGGCTGATCAAATGCAAGAAGGTGTGTGGAACAGTTTCTTGGCAGCTCGTGTGGCCAAGATTCTTGTGGAAGTTGAAGAACATGGGAAGGAGGTATTATCGGGGCATGAAATCCATGTGACGAGGCGAGTGAGGACGGTTCAAGTACAGCTGGAATCGGGGGACAGGCAGGCCAAGGTTCAGTATGCGAACAAGTACGGATCTCTAGAACACTACATAACGTGGTAGATTTTGGACCTTCGATAAGACTCCTTGGTAGAATATATGGAGAGTGAGATGTATTGATCTCTATGTTGTGAGTGACCTTATATGAGATATTGCATTTCAATGTATTGATGTAAGTTTTATAGCATCAACATGGAAGCAACAATAATGGCTAGTAAGCTCGGCATCAGGGCCATCAGTACAAGTTACGAACCCAGCATCTCGAACATTGCAAAGAAGTGGAATCAGGCGTGTTCTAACTCGAAGATTATAGAGGGATAGGACGAATCAACCACATGTTTCTTCACACAGCGCCATCCTGCTTGATCAAAAACACCCTCCCACTCCTTTACAGTGGGCAGATAGGTCCCCATCATTGCGTGACCAAATTCGAAGCCAAGAGTGAAGATGGGCACATCGTCTTCAGTAACACAGTTCTCCGACTCGTCGGGGTGTAATAAGACACGAGTGGTATCTCCCAACAGAAAGCGGCGAGCATTGGGGAAAGCCTTCTTTAGGCACTTCATGGACGCGATGCAGTTCTCGCGGGGCCAGAAGTCGTGGCCCATGAGAAAGCTGGTCACCAAGTTAACTTCCTCAAATTCCTTTTGATAGCTCAAATTTGTCGCGTCCCCTACGACAAATGACAAGCGGTCGCCCAGGCCTCGCTCTCTGCCATGGGATTCAGCGACCTTGGTAGCTGGTCCAGCAATATCAATGCCGATTCCCGAGGTGCCGGGATATTTGTCCACAATTTGCATCAGCCTCTGGCCGCTTCCGCTTCCCAGGTCAACCACTGTATTGAGTTTGAAGTCGAGCCTATCCATAGCTTCCCAAAAGTAGTGGTCAAAGTGCTCTTTGTTGATATCATGGCAGGCATACGCGATGGCAACGCTATCGCGTTCGTAGAATTCGCCATGGCGATTCTTGTTCTGAAGCACGTACTGCATTCTAGAAAACAGTCCGCCGGAGCCAAGGCAGAGCCAATGAAAGAGAGACTTATTTCGGTACGCTTCATCCATCAGTCTACCTGGGATAAGGGCATCATCTTGACGCTCTAGGATGTCAGCCACGATCAGAGTTGTGGCTAGCCCGTGCATTGAGTCAAGGTCCAGATCTCGTTCCTTGGAAAAGAGCTCGATGTTCACTCTTTTCTGGGATCTTACGGCATCGAGCAATCCCACTTCCCAGGCAGCACCAATTGCTCCAGCAGCGACAGCCGAGTTGAAGATGGAAGCAACGGCACGCTCTGTGCTGACTGTGGTGGAAATCATGACGAGAAGTAGTTTTTTTTCAGACTTTACTATATCGCTGGCCTGAAGACATACAGCGTGTTGGTCAAATTATTGACCTTGTAGTATGGAGGATAAGAACAGTGATGTAAGATACGAGGCTCTAGAAGCTGAGAAACGAACAGTTATAGACCTGATCGGAGTTAAGAGGTAGCCAAGGGACAATACGAGAATTCTGGGTTTCAAATCTGCCGTCGCGAGAGGATCGGCTTCGTGTAGCTACACATTCTGGAATGATGTTCAACGCAATACAAAAAAGCAAAGAATGGAAGGCTGGGTAGCAATGACATAACCCGCTCGGGACATCTAGCCACCGCCATTTGCTCGCCATTTGCATGCATGTCTCTCAGGGTCCTCCATATTATCGGACTGGACGAGGACCAATTATCGGCAAGGATCTGCCGTCTTTAGAGGCGGAATAGGTGATTAATGATGTCCGATTGGTTAGCTACAAGGATTCTCAGCGGAATTCAGCTGCGAGCTGGTTCACTATCGACTGCAGGCTGGAAGACAGCAACCTGATTTGCTACTGATGCGGGCGACAGCGACCTGATTTACTGATGAGTCGGTTCAGCTGCATTGTCAGACGCCAACACCCCTTTATGGGCGATGTGCGCTTATGCCAAGTGCCGTCTCGTCAAACTAACGAAGGATGGCATGTCGCCCAGAGCAAGCTGACTGAGACATGCAGTGGTCAGACGTAATGCCGTGGATGCTTCTTGGCTTACCGCAATCTCAGGGCTTCACACATATAGGTGCACCAAATTTGAATATAGGTACTACACGTCCGATGCGGCCACACGCAAACTAATATGTATTGTGTGCGTAGGGGCGGTTTCAAATATCTACCGACAATGGCTAGGACGCACATCAGGGTTACTGAAGGCCAGCCACGACGGATGCAACGGGACAATTACTGCAGATCACAATGCGACCCTGAGAGACGCTTGGGCAGGACAAGGGGAAATAGCGGACGAGCTACGCCAGCGAATAGTGTGGACCAGCAGATAGGCCTGGATCACCCTGGTCCTCCATTAGATACACAGAAGCATCGAGGCCGCCTTTTTGGAAACGAAGCACAACATTTGCCTCGGCTTATCATCGCCTAATACCCTGATCTTCTCATCTATATCTATATCTATAAGATACTAAGGAGGTACTTCTAAGAGTAGATTTTTTTAAATTTCTCTATCTAATATATTACTCTTAGTATATATAACTTTATACCTTTATAGATTATTATAGTCCCCTTATTAAATTAGTAAAAAATATATTAATATATTACTTATAATATCTATATAAAGCCCTT